TACCTGCCAGGCATAGTGCTAGCTGCTGAGTTGGAACACGGTAAACATTTGTGGACGGGTTTGGCTAACTCTGCGTGGTTCCTGCCATGGCACAGTGACTGCATTTTGTTTTTAGTCACGACACATGTACTGATTTTGATCAACCATGTCCACTACCTTTTTAAAACGATACAGATACTAGAAAAGGATTCCAGTAGTTGTTAAGGTGGTACCTTTCATTTGCTGTATTCTTCCTTTAGATAGACATTATCTAGGTTGCAGGATTACATTGTCTAAGGTGGGACGATATTCTCAGATAAGAGCTAGTGTAAAATAGTGGAGCACAGGTTTCTTGAGTGTGGGGCGCTGGGATTGAATCCAGGCTTCAACACTATCTGTGTAGCCTTGGACAGGTTATTCAGTCTCTATGGTCATCAGTTTCCCCATCTCTATAATGGGAGTAATGGTGGTATCTACCATAAAGTTGTTACAGTGGTAAATGGAATGATGCATGTATAGAGGTTAAGCCAGTGCCTGGAACATGGTAAGAACTTAACAAATTGTTAGCCATTACTTAACAAGTAACTTGGTAAGTTAATAGCTACTACTAGTATTCATGACTGTTCTGAACTGTGGTCAAGTAATATGCCCATGGGATAAAGTTTAGAATAAACCAAAAGAATGAAAAATATCTTCATCTCAGGGCAAGGGCACTCTGAGTGATGATTTCCGTTAATGTGGCTGTAATGGCATCTAAATAATTTCAGAAGGACTGGTATATTTAGCAAAGAGGGCTGAAGGCTAACTCATAAGTAGTGCAAGATCCTGATGGTCGAGTAATTTCTTTGCTGGGTGTAATGTACATCTTGCATGGAGCCTGGCACGTAGTAGGTCCTCAATAAATGATAGCTATCAGTTTGGTTATTTCTGGTTCCTGGGATGTATTTGCAGACTTAGGGAGAGTATGCATCATTTCGTTTCCAAGGCTGGACTGTCTGTACAGTACGTTTTGGTTCTATCAAGGTCCATGTTTGGAGAGTGTATCTGCCACAATGGTGCAGTATGACAAATCAACCTGAAACTCAGTGACTGGAAAGAACAAGCATATATTTTCTCCATGTGCGAAGGTTGGCTAGGGGTTGGCTGATCTAGGCTGGGCTTAGCTTCAAGCTGCAGATTGGATGGGGGTCTGCCCTGACTGTCTCTCATCCTCCTTGGACCAGCAGGCTACCTGGGGCACATTCTTCTTGTGCTGATGGCAAAAGCACAAGAGGTCATGCTCAATCACGCAGCCACATTTCAAGCTTCTCTTATGTCATAACTGCTAATGGGCAAACCCAAGTTCAAGGGATGAGGAAGCACGCTTGGCAAAGAAATGCAAAATCACAGGACCAGAGGGTGTGGATCTAGGGAGTGGTGAAAACGAGGGCCACTTATTCAACCTACCCAGTTCCCCAGTTGACTTCCTCCATGTAGTCATTGCAGTAGATGATATGAAAGGGCTTTCCTTGCTTAGGTGGTTCCCTGGTTCCCAGTCCCCACGTTAAGATTCTAGAAGCACTCCACTGTAGCATCCGAGCACGTTGCAAGTTCCCCTTTGGTCTCTGGGAGCCTTTCCTCTGACAGACAGGAGTTTACTGTAAACCAGAGTCCCAATTTAGACAGACAGGATGGATTAGGCAGACAGCATCAATGACCTGGTTCCACTTCGTTAGCCTTTCCAATTAAGGAGGATGTTACTGAAAGTGAGACCCCACAGAGGCACTGCCATACCTTGAATCCTCTGGACTGAGCCTCCGTAGGGAGAGTCTTATATTTCAAATGTGCACAGAGGAGGGGAACACAGTTTTCTTGGCAAGTGAATCCCAAGTGTCAATGACATGGCCATTTGTGAGTTACTTTGTCTTCTTCTTGGCTAGGTAATTAACATGCTAAATAGATAGCATTTTTGCTTTTGTTTTTCAGAAGCTTTTTAATGAATATTAGTCCCCTGACCCTGAGCCCAGAGGGTCTTCCTTTCTGTTGGAACACCAAATAAAGAGTTGGTGCGACACTGTATCCAAGGATCAGGCTCTGGGTTTTGTCAACACAGTTGTCAGAGGTTCCCTGTGGTTTCCCAGGAAGGTTTTTTCCAGTGGAGTTGTTCATAGGGGTTCAGGATGGCATTCTCCCCTCTCCACCCCACCCCATCCAGTGGGATTCTGAGCAGTGAAGAGTAATCCCCAAACAATAGCCAAATGGACTGTGAAGCACAGCTTAATTAATCTGGGCACGCACCCAACACCCTGTGCAATGCTTTGCAAAGACCTGGCTTTAAAAATGAGGCTAATGTCTGAGTCTGAGAAGCAGCTTGTTCTCTTCTAGTCAAAATCTGGATGGTAGGATCTGAATAAAGAGAGGGACAGGGCTTCCCTGGTGGTGCAGTGGTTGAGAGTCCGCCTGCCGGTGCAGGGAACACGGGTTCGTGCCCCGCTCCGGGAAGATCCCACATGCCGCGGAGCGGCTGCGCCCGTGAGCCATGGCCGCTGAGCCTGCGCATCCGGAGCCTGTGCTCCGCAACGGGAGAGGCCACAACAGTGAGAGGCCCACGTACCGAAAAAAAAAAAAAAAAAAGAGGGACAGACAGACACACGGAGACTGAGCTGAAGCACAGACTTGCCTGCTGTCACTCACTGAACAGCACGGTGGGATCTGACCCACACTGCCCGGCACAGACCAGGATGATGGCCTTGCCTCCTGGCAACTAGCATGGGCCCTGCCCAGCATGCTTGCCTGACACAGGGAAACTGGGAGTACAGGGTCCACTCTCCCTGCATATGAGTGATACAGGAGCTGGCTGGGGGGCTTCGTGAGGGATGCTAAAATAATGAACCTCACTTGAAAAAAAGTGGTTCAGTGAAGGTTCTCCCCCATCATAGTTGCCACTGCTTTCCCCTTGAGAAGGAGCTAGTAAGGGTTTGAAGACAGAGGCCTGCAGTATTTCTCTTAAGACTTCTCCAAGTTCCTTTATGGGCCAAGGCTGCAACATGGGAGAGAAAATGCCCCTCAGTCTCTTCCTGAGTACGAGGAATATTCAGTGCCTGGGTGGAATGTGAAAAGTAGAGTGAGACGTTCTCTTGGCAACAGTCTTTGAGCTGCACCATTGGAGAAGTGCTGGGAATTAGCACAGGAATCGGGAGAGAGGATTCCCTCGTCTTGAAGGAAAAGTCAGTACAGACCAGAACGCAAAATGATCCTGGGGTCAGGACTCCACGCTCATCACAATTAGGTACCAAAGAGAAGCGAGCAAGAAATGCGTGACAGTTCACCTGGGGTAGGGGTTTAAGATGTTCCGCTTTCTCTACACTTCCTTTTTTTAAAGTTGTGGAAAGAACACTTCACATGAAATCTACCCTCTGGGCAAAATTTTCAGCGTACAATATAGTCTGTTAACTCTAGGCTCTGTGTTGAACGGCAGCTCTCTGGAGCTTATTCATCTAGTGTGAACAAAATTTTGTACCCGATAAATAGCACCTCCCCATTTCCCTCTCCCTCCAGCCCCTGCCAACCACCCTTCTACTCTCTGCTTGTATGAGAGTTTATTTTAGGTTCCTCATATAAGTGGAATCATGAAATCTGTACTCTCATGTTCATGGCAGCCAAATTCGTAATAGCCAAAACATGGAAAGAACCTATATGTCCATTGACAAGTGAATGGATAAAGAAAATACATAGTATGTATATACACAGAGGAATTTTTTTTTTTTTCCTGTGCTACTTGGGCCTCTCACTGTTGTGGCCTCTCCCGCTGGGGAGAACAGGCTCCAGATGCGCAGGCTCAGCGGCCATGGCTCACGGGCCCAGCCGCTCCGCGGCATGTGGGATCTTCCTGGACCGGGGCACGAACCCGTGTCCCCTGCATCGGCAGGTGGACTCTCAACCAGTGCGCCACCAGGGAAGCCCTGCACAGAGGAATATTATTCAGCCTTCAAACAAGAAGGAAGTCCTGCCGTTTGTGACAACATGGATGAACCTTGAGGACACCATGCTACGTAAAATAAGCCGTTCACAGAGAAACAAATAGGGTGTGATTCCTACATCTCCTTCTTGTTCACAGCAGAGGCCAGTGAGCTGGGGCTAATTTGCACGGCTTCCTTGAAGCCTGTGTTGGAAAATCTGCTCGGATAAAGCAAAGCTTCCAATTGAGTTCGCACTGAGGGGCCGTAAAATCACGCCCATTCTCTGTAAGAGGCAGCTTGAGGTTACTTTCCCAGAATCAGGAATCCAAGATGATGAAGCTCAGAGCTGACATAGTCCAGACAAAAATAGCCTTTATGTGCCGAGCTTCCTGTTTTCTTTGGAATCCACTTGCTGAAAACCATTACCTCCTCCCCAGCTGCCCCTTCCTCCTCCGTACCCACCCTGCCCCCCACCCAAGAGTTCACGTTTAATGACCCGAGACATTACCACCAAGCATTTCCAGTCAATTGGCTTTTGTAGCCAGTGAATGAATGGGACTTTCTCTGGCCTTCTCTCGCCTGAAAGGAGTCTTCCCCAGCCCATTGGAATGTGCCACACAGACCAGGAATTAAGCTCTTCTTTTCCTCTCAGTCCTTCCCTCATTCTTTCCAAGATCAGACACGAAGTGGTGGCCTTGCCCCTAATGGGGATTTTATATTCTTTCAGGTTTATTTCTAATCCTCTTACGGACCCATCTTCTCCTTCACATCAATGATTTGAACACGCTTTGAGATGCTCGGCGAGGGGCCTTTGTTTCTTATTTCTTTATGCTGACACTTCATGGCTGTGCACGATCTCCACGCGGGTGTCCCTGTATCCCCCTAATGAAAGATTACAGCCTCCTTCGTCCTGTGGGTGTGGGAGGAGGTGTGGTGGGGGGAGATTGGGCCGGGCTGTCCTCCTGTCACGTGGAATGGGGGCGACAGAGGGGGGCCAGCTTCCCTGCGGGGTTGCTTGATGGCCGGGGCAGTAGGTTACACTTCTCCCACCGCTCATGTGTGTTTTCTCCTCTTTTCCCACAGGCCGCACAACCAAGCCCTGTGATCACCCTGGAGGCCCAGGTGAGTACCTTCCCGTGGTGTTTGTCACTTTCTCTGCACTGATGTCCCCGGACCAGCTCTCCAGGGAGCGTTCCTGCATCCTCTTGGCTCCAGGACTCAGGAAGGCTGGACGGACACATAAGGCCATCCTCCTGCCCGGTTGGGATATGTGCGTGCACCCACATGTGTACACACACCAGCTGATTGTTCATGAGTGTGTGTGCACGCATGCATGTACCCAGGTTCTGAAAGCACCGTGGGAAGAACCAGACCTGTTTCTTTTGAGTTTTCTTCTGCCCTTTGCTTCCGCCCAGCAGTCGCGAGGAGGTGAATGCAGGGGGAGAGGGAAGGCAGAGAGGAGGCATGCAGTGGGGGATGGCTGCCCTTTCATGCCTTGGGTTTGGAGCACTTTCTCCCCGGGCAGTTAGTTGTGTGCTTGTGTCTGCTTGCGCGATGGGCCATTCTGAGGAATGTGAATCACGGTGGCATTTCTGTGCGGGGGGGCAGGTGACCAGTGGGCCTTGTAAGGAGGGAATGGCCCTTACTGTCTACTTTCTGCTTTCCGGGGAGCTAGGACAGCGGGGCAGCTGTGAGTCCAGCAGACCCAGGTAGAGCCCCAGAGCTGTGTCTTCTGGACCTGAGGGTCACTGAACCGCTCAGCCTCTGTCTCCCCATCTGGAATATTATTACCGCAGGGATAGCGCCTGCCCTGCAGGGCTGTGGTGAGGAGGAAAGGACAGGGTGTCTGTGAAGTCATCAGTACGTGCTAAGTGCTCGTGAGTGTTAGCTTTTTTTTTTTTAACATCTTCATGGGAGTATAATTGCTTTACAGTGGTGTGTTAGTTTCTGCTGTGTAACAAGAATGTTAGCTTTTAAAACCAGTGCAACAGTGCTTTTCTGACGGGGCTTGAAGGGGGTGTATCTTTGGATGGATGGTTTCCTTAGCTCTGGTCAGACAGTAAACAGAGAAGCCAGGGTGGATGCCACCAGCGCCCCACAGCTAACTGCGTGTCAGACAGGCGAACGTAGCTGAGCTTCTCAAGGCTTCTCGGTGACTCCTGCACATCCTGGGACCAGCTGCGCCCTACTCTTCACCCTCATTGCGGGCATCTCTGCCCTACCCCTCCTTCCTTCATCAGAAAGGCCGGACGTTGGGAGGACAGTGGATTCTCAGGGTTTCTTTGGGCTCTTGTGGCCTCTCACTACCCACCCCCGCTCTCCCCACACACACTTATGTCGGCTTCAGGGATGACCAGACAACAAAGCTGGCAGGAAGGAGCAGTGGGGGGGACTTGGAGGGGATAAACGCCCAGTTTTTAGCCTCTGTTTGGCCATCCTCTGGTCTGGTTTTTGGCAGACTTCGGCCAGTCACCTGTCACCTCGGCCATGTTTGGCAAATGTGAATTGTACCTGTGCCAAGTCACCTAGAAACACATTCTCCCTGAAATGAACATATTTTACTTTCAGAAGTAGACTTACCCTAAGGTAATGATTCCCAATCAGGGGTATCTTTGAGCCCCAGAGGACTTGTGGCAATGTCTGAAGACATTTTTGGTTATCTCACCTTGGCGGGCTGGGAGGGAGGGGGGTTTACTACTGGCATCTAATAGGTAGAGACCAGAGAGGCTGCTGAGTATCCTACAAGGCACAGGATCCCCCACAGGAAGAATTACCATGCCTGAGATGGCAATAGGGCCGGGGTTGAGAAATGCTATCTCTAAGAATAATATTGGTGAAATCACAAGTTCAATGTGCCAGTTACATTGTGTTGCAAAACATTAAATGTTAAATTAATACAGTTGAAAAGCTCCTTTGGGTGCCCTCTAAAATCACTGCAACGTCCTCTCAGAAGTATGTGTGCCATACTTTGGGAAACGTGTCTCTCCCCACGTATTTTGAGAGAACATCCAGGGCGGGTTTTTGAAATGCTGGCCCTTCTCTTCTTTATCAATCTTTCCCCAGAAGGAAAAGTTACTAGACTCGGGGAGACCCCTGGGCACATAGTCTGCACCCAGAATTCTGGAAGCCAAATCTGAGGTGGAGTGGCTGCAGCCTGGATGGTTCTGTCCTTTGCCCTGCTGTATCTTTCACCCCACCAGCCCTTCAGAAGCTCCATGGGAAAGAACAGTCACATGCCTTGGCTCTGGGCTGTGACAGCTCACCCCTACCTACACAGTGACCTCTCCCCGAGTCACATCCATCGGCCTGAGAGACCTGAGCCCTGGTCCGCACGCAGCCAGCTGTGGCACGTGGCCGGCTTTCTGGAGCTCGGTCTTTGGGGAGCCGTAGGATGCTGTTGTCTTTCCCCAAGTTCTGGTTTCCCACGTTAAAGGGACGTTAGAACCCAACCAAAGTGCAGATGTTTTTTGTTTTTTTGTAACTGTTGGCACAAGCCCGTGGCCAGATCTGACTTTGTGCTGGGCCTCAGCCCATCATGGGACTCAGGATGAGATCCTCTTTACCTGCCTGCAGGCAGGTCAGATGAGAGGGAAAGGTTCTCTGGCAGGACATGGCACCCCAAATATTACCCATATAGCACAAGCAAGGTGGCAGATGTGGCCGAGCTTGGAAGAGCCAGCCATGCAGAGGTGAGTGGTAGATGTACTCTGAGCCCTGGGTCAGTTCCCACTTCCTCCCCCTGTGCCCTTTGCTCCCAAGAAAGCCATCACCTGCTCCATCCTGGAGCACAAGTGCCACAGGTGGGCCTGAATTTGAGATTTCACTGTGAGCCATGTCCGTACATCATGCTTCAGTGGCGTGCTTGTCCAGGGCCCAGTCTGCATAGGGACATTGGGCCAGCCAGGGACCCTTCCCTCCACGCATTTCCTCTCTCCCTAGTACTCCCTGCATCAGCCCCCGCCCAGTGCTTAGTGCATCTGTCCCGGGGCAGCTGTTCTGAGCTGGGGGCGGGGGGGTGTTGGATTGCTTGGCTGCTGAGGCCTCCTCTAATGCTCTGCCACTGGCACAGCAAAGCCTCGCACCTGTCGGCATCAGCAGGACTGTCTCTGCTTAACGGCCAGATTAATAGGATGAGGGAGTCGAGTAAGGTTTAAATCCCTGGTGTCAGCTTTCCCTCAGCAGGTTGCCCCTGGGCGGTACCGAGGACTCCCTGACTTGCAGTGGTGAATACTTTTCTAGTCTCCAGATGGTGGTTACCCGGGAACCAAGTGACCTAGAGATGAAAAAAAAAAGTGTCTGAAAGGAATTTGAATTTGGTTAGCGGCATCGTCAATGATCCCCACTCTTACTGATATTTACCACTTGCCAAGAACTGGCTTCTCCCACTGAATCCTCAAATGCCGTTATTGCATAGGTCTTTTCATGATACCCAACTTCCAGATGAGGACCCTAAGGGTCAGAGAGGTTAAGTAACTTACCCAAGGTCACACAGGACCTAACATTGGTGAGTGTCAGACTTGGGGCCATATGACATCAGAATCTACCTTCTCAACCTCTCTCCTATTTTTCCAGAAAAAAAAAAGTTGCCTAGAAAGATTTGCTGATGCTCAGAAAAGCTGGAGGGACGAGCCTGACGTATGCACCCCAAGCTCAATATAGATAAATAGATAGACGGATGGATAGTGCTTTGTACAAGTATCCGCAGATGTACTTAGATAAGTAGGTAGAGGGATGATAGATAGATGATAGGTGGTGGATATATAAATAAATAGATAATAATGCTTTACATGGTGAGTGATTCTTTGACCGATGGTTTTGCCACAAGGCTGGTAGGTAAAAGGGTTTAAGCAATGGACCCAATAGAAAATTTATTTTTAAAACAACACAAATGAAACATCTCCCCGTGCATCAGTAGTGTTTTGGTAAATATGAATGCTCATTATTTGATTCTCTCTTTCTCATTGATCCCCACGATGGTTTATCATTTCTGAATTCGCTCCAATTGGCAAGGCCTCTCGTTATTCAATTTTAGCTTCTGTCTCCCTTCCTGCCACCCCTTCCCCCAACATCTTCACTGTCAATTACTTCATGGCCTCTGCGCCAACAGTGAGATCCCCTGGGAGGTGTAATAAAGGAACTCTCAGGACCTGAAGATCAGGGGCATCAGGAGGGAAAACTCCTGACTGCTCAGCTTTCAGCAACCAACCAGGTACTTGAATTTCTTTGATCAACCAGCTGGGGGTATAAGGGGAGGGAGTTACATTCACATTATTTAATGATGATGCTGGGGTCATTGAAGATTGTGAACAAAACTCACGAAGAAAACGAGTAGTGGGTGGAAGGAAATCAGTCCGTGAGAAATTCATCCATTCATCCAGTTGGTTATTTAATAAATAGTTTGGGGTCCAGGAAGAGGCCAGGCCTTGATGCTAAATGTACAGCAGTGAACAAGACAGAAGGTACCTTGCCCATGGAGCCCCCATTCTGTTTGGTGGAGTCAGACAGTGAATTTAAGAGCAAATAGATAATGCCCATGGTTTCAGGGAGTAATGAGTGAACGAAAACAAGACCAGCGTGTCTGTAAGTGGGCGTGACCGGGCGCCACAAGGGGGAGAGTGTTCAGGGAAGTCTCTCTCTGGAGGTGAGTTTTAAGCTCAGGAGGTGACATCTGAGCTGAGAGCTTACAGTAGAAAGAGTTAACCAGGCAAAGAGATGGCAGTAATTGTGTTCTGAGAGTTTTGCATATTATATCTGGGTTCCTGTAAAAATAATGCCAGTTCTCCTTAGAATCAATTAAAAGTTTTAGCTCCTTGGAGCTCCTTCAGTGCCTTGGTGTCATTAGAACGTCAGGATGAATAAGGGATTACCTTATCAGACAAGGGTGAAGGGCAAGGACTGAGGGGGTGGGACAGAGGAAAAGGGGCTTAAATTTGGGGCCATCCAGTCAAACTAACACCCGCGGCGAGCATTTTGACAGGGAACTTCTGACCTGAGCAATGTTGTGCTGTGATAATGGGGCTTATGTGAGAAATCAGCTAGTGCTCATCATTAGTTAATTAGCTGGCTCCCTTTCAGCTGAACTGAAGCCTGAGTCTAAACCAGTGGTTCTCAACTTGGGGTAA